CCTGCGCTTGCCTATGCAGGCACTTTAGTCCTCAGAGCTATATTGGCCAGCCCCATTCGCTTTAATTTTAACTAGAAATAATACCAGGTAGAGAAGGCTTTTGTTATCACACAGAACTTTAGAATCTGATCATGTTAACTGCAAAGTATTTTTTAAATTTCTGCTAAAAAAATATACTATATACAAGCAAGGTCAAAGGAAATAAGTACAAAATATCTACAACATACATCAAAACTAATTTTCTTGGGGCTGGTGAGATGGCTTAGTGGTCTAAAGCACCTACTTAGAACAAGCTAAGCTAAGCAAAACACAGGGACCACGGTTCAATCCCCCAGTACCACATGCCAGCCAGCCCCGCCCCCTGGTGGGCTGAGCTGGCCACACACACAAAATAAATAAATAAATAAATAAATATTTTTTTAAAAAACTAATTTTCTTAATAACACAAGCATTTCTAATAAACAATATAAAATCTTAATAGAAAAATGAACAAATGATATAAAGAAACAAACATGGCTCTCATATTCTAAAAGGCACTTAAGAAAAATATTCCCATTAAACTGGCATTTTTTTTAAAAGGCTTAATAACTCCATTAGCAAAGGAACAAGGAAGCCAACCCACACTCTTCGGCAGAATACAAACAGGCACAGCTTCCATGAAGTGCAACTTAACTATGTATCCAGATTCCAGTGGTGCATGTCCTCTGACTCAGGGCTTCTACTAATTTAACCTAAAGACATGCTCACTCTCATGTACAAAATTCTCTAGGTACAAGGACAGTCACTGTATCAGTTTGTATAAGCAAGGCTCCAAACTATTGGTTTGGTCTGGTTTGGTTTTTTGTCTTTTTGAGACAGGGTCTCGCTATGCAATTCAGGCTGGCCGTGATCTCACTCTAGCCCAGGCTGGTCTCAGACTCATAACAATCCCCCTGCCTAAACCACCCAAGTGCTGGAAATTCAGATGTGCACTATCAGACCTGGCTTGGCTCCAAACATTTTAAATGCCCAACTAAGACATCTCTACCAAGGGCTGGCCAGATAGCTCAGTGGACTAAAGCACCTGCTGAGGCAGAGCACAGCGGCCAGGGTTAAATCCCCAGCATGCTTTGCCTACCACACTTGGGGCATGCTGAGACAGTGACTGAGACTGGGTGTGGTGGTGTGCTTCTACCCCAGTGCTTGACAGGCTGTAAACAGGAGGATCACTAAGAGTCTGATCTACATAGTGAGACCCTGTACACCCTGTCCTAAATACAAAAAAATAAATAAATAAAAAGTACCTTTGCTTGCTTCCAGGAAGTCAATTAGCCATGGTCAAGAGCAGAAGGAAAAGTTGCCTTTTACCATAAATTTTGTGTATCATTTGAATTTTACACATCACTTATGTTTCAGTATTATTTTACCCAGCTTCACCAATTGCTATATTTTGTTAGTATGCTGGTTCCTATATTATTGACAATGTTAGTTTTTCCAATTAACACATTTCATTTAATCAGATTGACACAGTAAGCCACAGCAGTAACTTGGATTCCATGACCCCACAAGCTCTATCTTTGCACATTACTTCACAAAAAGCACTGCTCCCTGTTCTATTCATACCCTACAATTTTTTTTTAATACACACTGATGATTAATAGGTTTTATGTTGGCAGATCTGCGCATGCACATAATGTACTTTAATCATCTCCCTTCACTCCCTTTGTGCCACTCCTACTTCACTTCCACAGTTTCAGTACACAGAATGTATTTTGGTCATATTCATCCACTGGGTTCCATTCTTCACTGCATGTAGAGAAATTATAAATTACCTGGGACTAAAAACCTACAAATGTCTTAGCCTAGATGGCAAACACCTAATCACTATTTTAGAAAGAGCAGAAATACATGAAAGTGCTCAAAGTTTCATAAAATATCATTTTTGCTATCACAACAGATGCAACATCTGGTCCACTACTTCACAAGTTTAAGAACTGACTTTAGTCAGGTATGGTGACACACACCTGTAATCCTAGCACTCAGGAGGCAGAGGCAGGAGAATCACCATGAATTCAAGCCCAGCCTGGGCTACATAGTGAGTTCAAGTTCAGCCTGAACTACAAAGCAAAATCCTGTCTCAGGGGGAAAAAAAAAGTGTATGTTGTGGTGCATATGTACTTATGTAAGTATATCTACACATATATAGTACCCTTGCCAAATATATATCTTTGGAGAACACATGACACTATGATAGTGTATAAAGGAAGAAGAGACCAAGTCAAAAAGGCTAAAGGCGTTCCTGGAAACAAAAAAGTGTAAGTGAGCTGAGAGCCAATAGAAGAGAAACTAAGGGAATGATACAACAGTAAGAATTCTGGAAGGTGGTATGACACGTACAGTGGTCCTGCGGTAAGAAGGCACAGGATGCCTCCAAAGAGGCAGAGAAAGATGAAAGTGTAAGATGATGTGATGGAGGATTAACTGAAAGTTGGAGAAGCCAGACTATGTGGTGTTCTCTAGGCCATGTTAAGGACTTTTGCCTTATTCTAGAAGCAGTGAAAAGTCAGGAAAGGGTTGTAAGCAGGACTGAGGAAAGACTGCTGTTCACAAAAGATTAGAGTGTTATAGGAACTGGAAGGCACAGTAGAAGCAGGAAAACTGCGTAGAAAGCTAAGTGAAGGATCATGACTGCCCAGGCTGGAGTTATGGCAAAAGCAAAATAAACAGGACTGGATGATTGATTACACCAAAAGTGCAAAGGAAAGGAAAACTGTAAGGAAGGTGCCCAAGTTTCAGGTCTGCACATCTGGAAAGATAAAGATGTGCTCATTGAAAGACAAACACTCCAAGAAGACCAGATTGTTGTGTTTCATGGGAAGCCTGCTGCAGGCTACAAACACAAAAAGGAAGGCAAAGGGTTCTTCAAACATATGAAAGTCTTGGCAAGAAGGATGAAAAATGAAAAACAGATGAGGGGTCAAAGAAAACAGAGTCTGCTACAGTACACCTTAATTTTAAAAATCTTCTGCCTCCAGGATCAGTCATAAAACAGGGCTAGATATTTTATGTTCCTCAAAACAGGATGTACAGAGGAGGAGAAGAGGTTTCAAATGCAATCGCTGGAGGGATAAAGAATTTGTATGAAGAATCAATATGAAAATATAAAGATAACAAATTTACCAATTTGAGAATGAGGGGAAAAGATAGTAAATGCCAACATACAGAAGGAAGAGGTATCATCCAAAGAAAAAGGAAGAGTAGGAAATGGAGGACTCCCTTTCACGAAATTTTACAATTTAGACACGTTTCATCTACCTCTGAACAAAACGGCTGTTCTTGGCCTTGCGTGCTAAGGGAATACAAAAATAGCTGTACACCTAAGGCTTTTTATTGAAATCACGGCTTCCACTGCCCTCATGTGGAGGCAGTAAGGAAGTGCACCACCCAGTTCCAGCAGCCTGGGAATGCCCATATTAACCTATGTATAATCATTAATCCACGACCACAGATCTAAGATCACAGTAGCAGAGGACAAACTGGCAACAGTCCTTGCCAAGCGATTTATCTTCTAAGTTATCAATATGCAACATATCTGTTTTTATTTCTTAACTTGGGATTAGAAAAAAGATTTCTCCTTTTTTGTTCTTTGTTAATGATCACATTTAGCAACCTAGGTTGGGGGGAATCAAGACATATCACATATATGTACAAATTCTCTATGATGAATATGACCACTTTGTATACCTAAAATGTACCAATAAACTTAATTTTAAAAATTCTAGGATGTCCAGTCTGATACCACCATTTCAAACCCAACCCTTGGCATATTATATATTTGAAAATTTACAAATGCCTCAATTTTAATGATACATATAAACAGATTAAGGTGCATTTCTACCACACATCAATATGCTGATGGCAAACATTAAGCAGTTATTCCCCTGCAGGTGCAAATTTTCCCTTTGTTATCTTCAAGTTAATGAAAAAAATTTGACCACTTAGAAGTATACAAAGCATCATAGTAAACACAATTGTAAAGTCACATCTTCAAAATTCATCAGCTAACCAAATATATAATTGATTTAATCAATCTCAACATTATTCATAAAAAACATGGTAAGTGATTGACACTTCTTTTCTGACAGTTCTCTTCATGGTAAAAATAAGCTTGCCTGATTTAGCATTCTGTACATTAACTCCTGCCTTTCTTCTTTAGTGAATATGCACTTACAACTGTACCTCTTTAAAACTGTCTCCACAAATGTAACAACTTGATATTATTTTTTAAGGCAACTATACTAAAAGATAGGGCACTGTAGGCCAAAAGGTGAAATTACTGCATTGAGTACATTTTTCCAATTCTCACTCAGCTGTTTTTATTCTGTAGATTACACGATTTTGCCACTAAATACATTCTTGATCTTCGTTCTCCACTCCCCGACCCCCAGATCTAGACACCATATTATCCATTTTATCGCTAGACATTCGAAAATGTTAAGAATTGAACGAGTTTTCCCCAATCTTCTTGGTTCCTTCTCTTGCTATCAACCCCCCACCATCACCACCACTCCTTTCTTCCCTTCAAGATGCCTAACTCTTACAACTTGGGTGGTTTTTTACAAAACCACTCCTTGGGATGCTCTTCCACCTTCTCTCCTACATTTAAATCCTCTCGAAATAATTTTCAACAGCTAGGCATCAATTTCTTTCACAAGCTCAAACTGCAGAAGAGGGAAGAGACTGAAATGCAAGTGAGCGAAACATTTGGGAATGTCAATGAGACAGCGGCCTCTCTTTTGAAAGGAAAACACAACTCTACACAGGCTTTCTTCTTCGCTGTGCTCCGACTGCCTCCCTGACCTCAAAGACACCTTCTCTTTGCTCAGATTCGAGGTCCCTCTGCTACACGCCGGGCCTGCCTTGCCTCCTCCCCAGAAAGAGAAAGCCGGGGAGAAAAGACAAGTCAGCAGTCACCTTCCCGCCGCGCCCGCGAGCTGTCAGGACCCCGTCCCAAGACTCACCTGGTAGGTGCGGCCGCCCGGAGAGCTGCACGAAGCGGTTGAGCTGGCCAGTCCCCCGACCCCCGCTGCCCCCACTACCCCCGCTGGCCCCGCTACCTCCGCCGCCAGCGCCAGCCGCGCCTCCTCCCCTCCGGCGGTTCCTGTCCCAGCCCTGGGCGGCCGACATGACCTGCTAACGACTGCCGCAGCCCGGTCCCGGCAGCCGTTGACCCGGCGGCACCAGCAGAGCCTCCTTCCTGGGCTCCTCCAGAGACCGGGGAGACAAGGAAAGGGGGGAGCGCCGGATTTCATCAGGAGCCAATAACCAAGCGCCTTAGTGACATGTAACCAATGAACAAGCGTCTTCTTGCTAGGTGGAGGGAGGCGGAGAGAGACGTGGTAACCATAGCTATGCCTAAAAAAAAAAAAAAGTAGGGGCTGAGAAAGACAGAAACAGCCGCTCATCAATCGCGCCGAGTAAATGCGCGTCGCCGCGACTGCTGAGGCTCAGGTGAACCAATCGAACTCCGAGTAAGAGAGGACACACCTGCAGAAAGACTCCCGGGACCGCTTGTAAACCGTGGTCAGCCCTCAGGAACTCTTTCCCATAAGCATGACAGTCAAAGCAGGATAGGTACACGATACACATAGCTGGGGGTTTTCTGCCACCTTTGCTGACTGAGCCCCCACTGCCTGTTGACTCACACAAAGGGCTCCCCCGCCGGCGTCGGGTGGGAGCCAGGGGCGGAGTCAAAACCTGTCTGTGAAAGTGAGATAGTCTGGATTTCATTTGTCTTGCAGCGCGACGGGCAGAACCTCTCCCCAGATAAGCCATGGCCCAAGCAAGCAGTTAGCCTGCTTAACACATATCGAAAATGTTCACTCTTAGCAGTGACCGACAGAACCAAACAAACAGAACTCCCGCGAAGAAACAACTTCTGGTTTATAACATCGGTGAGGATTTTATTCTACACACCGGCACTTGTGTAGAGCACCATGAAAAAAAAATACTCAAGTAAATGACGGGTGGCTATGTGTTTTTGTTCAATCCGTCCCTGTTGCTCCTAGAAAAGTTTAATAGCTTAGACAATATAAGATGAAAGGGAAGTGTAAAATTAAATGTATGTCAGGAACAGGTATAGAGATCAAGGTTGAAAAAAATACAGATGTACAGATCAGAAATACCTTTTGTTCCAAAATTAAACACACACCAAAAAATTGTCTTTAAATTAGGGGACTCAGTGCAAAATGGTAAACTGTATACTACTCATTCATACGGATGTGTGATAAGGAAATTTATATATATTCCTCAAGCAAGAAAAACTTTTCAGGTTCGTAGATCTGGTGTACTTTTCCCCTATGACGTTTCATACAGAAGAATTTTATGTGCTGGGGAGCAACTGCTGAATTTGGAACAAATACCCTTTAATCCTGGTGTATAAAATTGAGGTCACCACTAGCCCCACTTTGTTATCTTCCTACCTCCAGTTTCTGCAGTGGGAGAGGTATTTTACCAGTTATGTTTTACAACACACTGATAATGAAAATACTTGAGACCTTAAAGAAAAGTTAGGGCTCTAAAGTATGAAAACTAAAGTAAGTATATTTCGTTTTCTAAAGAAACGAAGCCACTGGATAGTCAAGTAGGAACTAGAGGAAAAATTCATAAGAATATTCCAGGTCGGTTGGACTGGCTAAATAGCACCGCAGATTGAAGCTCCTGTTTAGGCAGACATAGCAGCTGGGGTTCGATCCCCCACTTGCCGTGCGGGCCCGTCCCCGGGGTGAGCTGAGACAGCGATTGAGACTGGGCGTGGTGGCGTGCGCCTGTAATCCCACGCTTAGGAGGCTGAAAACAGGAGAATCACTATAAGTCTGATCTATGTAGTGAGACCCTGTACTAAATACACTAAAACTAAATACATTTTAAAAATCTATTGAATATCTATCCCTGCTAACGTCACAAAATGAAAGATGAGACAGTATGTGCCTCCTGTGGAACATAAACAAGATGTTGAAGTACTATGTAGGAAAAAAATTGAATATGAATCTCGTATCCAACTCCTTTCTGGTTTTCACCCTCCCAAGCGCTGGGATTACAGGCGCGTGCCACCATGACAAGTTTTAATCGCCTCATCAGCGCACTCCGGGGGCAGGGCAGCCATGGCACACCGGGGTGCAACCCCAGCCGCTGCATCTTTCTCTCTTTTTCTTTCTTCCTCTTTCTATGTAGTCCAGGCTGACCTTGAACTCTCTATGTAGCCCAGACTGGCCTCCAACATGTTGAGATCATCCTGCCTCAGTGTGCAGAGAACTGGGATTACAGGTATATGCAGCCACACATGGCAGTCTTTTTTATTTTATTTTTTCAAGTTTCTCAACAAATAAATTGAAAGGAAAAAAAAGATTTGAAGAGGAAAATCTACAAATTATATAAGTTTGTGGTTGTACAACTGTGAATATGCTAAAAATTACTTAGTAGTGATGCTACACAACTTTGTAAATAAATTTTAAAAAACACTCAATTGTATACTTTAAAGGATGACTTATGTAAATTGTAATTCAACTAATAAATGTTAAATAATCTGGGAAAGGAAGAGTAGATGGGGAGATAGATGAAACAACATTGGCTCCACTTTAAACCAGTGAATTAGGGCTGGGGAGATGGCTCAGAGGATAAGTGCTTTCCCTGGCAAGCACAAGGGCCTGAGTTCAATTCCCAGTTCCGTCAAAAAATAAATAAATAAATAAATAAATCAGTGAATTAAGTTTCAATCAAGTTAAAAAAGAGAATAACTTAAAACATTTAGCCAAATGCAAACACACCAACTCAAGAAACAATAATAACAAGAACATTGGAAATGCTGACACTGGATATTTTATGATAGTAGAAAATTATTGTTACATTTTAGGTACAATAGCATCATTGTTACATATATGTTGTAGTACATATGATAACTAAGATAATTATGCTATTAATTCCTATTAGTTCATTGTAAAGAACTGTTTGTGCTTATATTGACTGATCAATTTTTTTTTTTTTTTTGGCAGAACCGGGGATTGAACTCAGGTCCTTGTGCTTGCCAGGCAAGCACTTATTCCATTGAGCCATCTCCCCGGTCCCAACTGATCAATTTTGTTTACCTGTATTTTATAATCTGAGTAACTACTTTGAAGATAACAATAGCCAATATAATAACTACTGTCAATTTCCTATTAATCTTGTTTTGAAATTCTGTATCATTTTTTTGTTGTTATTGTTATTTCTCTCTCTCTTTCTCTTTTTTTGTATTTTTTAGGGAAGCGTCTACAGGGTGTTCAGGGTCTCACTACTAGATCAGACCTGTAGTGATCCTCCTGTTTACAGCCTCCCAAGAGCTAAGATTACAGGCACACACCACCACGCCCAGTCTCAATCGATGTCTCAGAGCGCCCAGGGGCATGTGGTGCTGGGGATGAATCTGGTTCTCTATGCTTGCTGAGCTTCCTCATGGGCCCAATTCATCAATTTTAACCCTAGCACAAGGGTGTAAGATACTGATGGAAGGGCAGGAGGTATGGAGGCTAGGAGGGAACTGTGGATTTTTTCCCCTTTTCTGGAAATTTTTATATTGGCACGTTTTATTTTATTTATTTTTTAAGTAAGCTTATTGGTACAATGTAGATATACATAGCGATCACATTCATCATTATATGGAATTCGTGCCCCTTCGTAGTATATCTTTTTTTTCCATAATTTTATTGAGAAACAAATAGCAATGA